CCGCCGGGGGGCGGGGGGGGACCTGGAGCCTCTCCGGACCAGAGAGAGTTCGTTCAAAGCCAGCCGCTCCAGGCTACACTGAGTAATTCACTGGGTATGTCCGTAGCAAACAACTGGGCATTCTGGGAGCTGTTCCTGCAACAGCACTGCGCTTTTGACTCTTTTTCAGGTGACGGACGACGGTGTGCTTTTTTTTTTAATCCTCGAAGATCTCAAGTGTTTCCCGGTGTTTGTGCCTGATTCCCGTGTCTCTCGTCTAGGCTGGAGCACGAGAAGCTCCTGGAAGAGCGCCGCTCCCTGCAGGATTCCCACGACACCTTGCAGGAGGTGATGAAGTACGAGTCGGAGGAGCACAAGCAGCGCGTTGCCGAGAGCCAGCGAGAGAACGCAGCGCTGCAGGCGGAGCTGAGTGTAAGAGCAGCTTTACAGCTCCGTGTCGGGTACACTTACGCCCCAGAGATCCCGGGGAACGCCCCCCTTGGGGAGGCGTTGGGCAAGACGAAGTTTAATTGGCTTTTCTGTGCTGAACCTGAAGGCATTCCTCTCCATTTCGACCAGCCCTCCAGGTTTCCATTTCCCACAAGTGAGACAGGCGTGCCTTGGATGCCTTGTGTCCTTTCAGTGTGTGCACCTGGAGTGTTTTCTTAAAGTTTTATGTTGCGTTAATCTAAAGCACAACAGCTACGATGCTAAGAACCATCAGCATCTAAAATCCGATGTGCAAAATGATATCCTGCAACAGCTGCAGAAAACAAACATACTCACGATACGTATGAGTGTTCATGAGGACCACAGAGACACTCTTTTTAGTGTTTACTTCTTAAATACAGACACGATACGTTTTTATTTTACTGTAATTTTTGCATTTTAGAAACTGCTTGAATCCATGAAAACTGAGAAGGAACGGAACTCCAATTTAACATCCCAGCTCAAAGAAGATAAGGAGACAACTTCTAAGTGAGTTGCTTTTTCAAAGGAAAAGGTTGCACTCTTAGTGTTAAACCTGTTTTGGTTTTGTTTTCCTGTTTCAAGTGTTTGCTTTTGTTTTTTATATACAATAAACATTTTTGATTTTTCTTTTTTCTTTAGGGAGCTTTTAAGAGCCCTCGATGAGAATGTTGACTTAAAGAAACACATTTCCAGTTTGACTGTGCAGTCTGAGCAACAGGTAAGTTTAAAATGAAATGGAAGTGAATTCCTCAATCCACACCTGTGGTACCACGCGATTGTTGGTGAATTGATTTTCATCTCTTTTTAGACTGCAGAGCTACACAGTCTGAAGCAGAGTCTTACTGCAGCAAACACAAGCGTGGCCGAATTGGAAAAGAAGTGTGAAACGGAGAAAGTAAAGATCAGTTTTTTTATTTTATTTTCTGAACTAAACCCAGACATAAAATGTCCAATTATAAATCGCTTCTTATGTAATGAGTCCTATGTAGTTTTGACTGTAAAAACCATGTGCTTTTCTTGCGCAGGAATTTGTAGTCGATATCCTGAATCAGACCCAGGAGCTGAGAAACACCCTCAATGAGAAAAATGAGATGTTGGCTGTGCTGTCAAGTGAACTGGAGGATATCAAGGTATCCAGGCTAATTTTATTGTCCCTTTCTGCCATTGGAGGCATATACCTTCATTTTCTGTCCAGTTCGAACCTTAAACAGAATAAGAAGACATGGCATTCCACCAGTGTGGGTGTTGCTGTGGTACTGTACCATGTGCTGTTCTCAAGCTACCCAACTATTGTACCCACAAAACCTTACACTTCTTATTTTCTAGCTCAGACAGATCCAGAAGTACTTTACCGGTTATAGAGATTTGCTTGGAATAGACATTTTAAAAAGTTAATTTCTTTTAATTTTGAATTTTTATTACAAGAAAGATGAAGTGCCAGCTAAGACATTTTTAGGTATTAAAAGCCGTACACACTAGATACAGGGTGTAAAATGTGAGCTTGCCATTCTCTTTGGTCTCTCTTTAACGCGGTGTTAATTGCGTTCACCTCCGTGGCAGGAAAAGTACTGCGCAGCTTTGGCGGCGAGAGAGGAGAGCCGAGCGCTCATCGCGAGACACGAGAAGGAGGTTATTGATCTCAGGGAAGCCATGGAGCGGAGGGTGTCCTCGGACAAGATTGAGGTGAGCGGCGGACCGTGCCTGCTCACAAGGAAGCAAACCAGCTTGAATGGCTTATTTTTTAATGGAATTTTTAATTCTTTACCCACCCTGTGCCTGCTGTCTTTCTGTCCACCTGCCTTGTTGTTATAATCCATAGGTTATATCCTTTTTTATACAATTTATCACTGAAACCCGTAGCAGGTTTGGAATTGCGTAATGAACCCCGAGATATCAGCGTTGTAAAGAAGAAGGAAAGACCATTTCTGCCATTCATACTGTCGTACGTGTGGTTCGAGAGGTGTCTGTCCACCAATAGCAAGTGTTTTTCTTAGCTGAAAAGTCCAGTTATGTCGGTTTGTGTAATTAGTCCAATACAAAGTGCTAAGGAATTTCTTCACCCAAAAATAAAAAGGATCTAAAAAAATTGCCAAGTAAAAATGTCCCCCGTGAGGGTTGCTCGCATGCGTTCAAC